TGAGTTCTTCGGGCATAAAAAGCACGGAGAAGCCAAAGAAAAGGCGCAGTATTCGAACAAAACTTTTCATTTAAGCCAAAAGAAGTTGGACAACATTGTTCTAGCCACGAATTGCTGCTTCTGCCGCTGTTTTCTGCACTGTTGCCTCGCATGCTGCATTGCATACTCGGCAACATTTCCACAATGGCCGGCGTCATTTTGTATGCAAAATGCGGCAAAACACAACACCAAACAACAACAATAACATCTTATGTTGCAGTCACATTCAGTATTCATTCATTCATTCACTCCGCATACACATTGCATTCTACACGCCCGAGCTGCCTATTGAATTCGCAATGAGAAACCAGTTAAGGCTAAAGTTTTGTGACAGTTTAGTGAGCTCAAAACAAATAGACTGCAAGCAGTCCGATCCAATCAATAAATAAGAAATGTAACTAAAACAATTGTTTTGTCCTTTTGTCAGTGCCTCAAATTATTCTAGATTATACTGCAAACTCATTTTTCATAGCTTCGATAAGATCCACAATTGACTTGATGATTGAAAGGCCCTGAAAGACCTGCCTCATTATCCATAAAACCTGTACGCTGTAGTACTAAAAAAATTCCAAGAGCTATCAAAGTTAGCTGAATGGTATTAGCATGAAAGTGTTTTAGTCTCATCGATGCATTTATCAAAGCTTCACTGCGCCTATATTCTATATACACAAAGAGTTTATAGTTCCCAAAATGATGGATTAGTAATATTAGGCGAACAAATATATTACAATTTTATTATCGATATATTCTAAATTCTAAATTAAAACAAATACAATTTTTAAAAACATTAAAATTCAAGCCTAATGTTTTAACCAATAGGAAGTCAATGCAACAGAAAAATTAATTTATATATTTATATAAAATATAATAAATAAATAATAATAGTTTATAATTTATATAATAATAAATAAATAAATTTATATAATAATGAATATATTTATATAAAAGTGCCATTGTCCACGGAATGCTGCCTGAGGGAGCAAATTCTTTTCTATGCTTGTTTCACTTGAGCATTTGACAAGCTTTTAAAACGAGAGCAAAAGCAACTAAATAAATACGAGATGACATTATAACAACAACGAGAACAACAATGAAAAGCAACTGCATTTAAGCCTAAAACTGACGACATTTAGCAGACTCGACGCTCGCCATGTCATGAGGTTAGCAGCCAGCCGCCGGTCCAAAGTACTTTCTTTAAAGAACTTTTCGCTGTTGACCTTTGTTATGCATTATGCCAATTAGTGAGCTTTCAATTGACTCTGGATGGCCAGACAAATGGCCAACAAAAGCTTAGCAATAGTCGAACAATAAAACGCACTCAGCCGCTTATAGAAAAACGGACTTTGGAAAGCACATAATTGGCTTATCCGAGCATTTGCATTCAAGTCTTATTAAACAGTATACTTAAATATCAACTGAATTAAAGCTCAATTTTCAGGGAGAAGGCTGACATTGCAGCATTCATAGATTTATTACATTTATTGAGTTATTTCGAACAAGTCATTAATATAAATATATATAATAAAAAGAAAATGAATTGTAGAGAACTCTGAAAATATAAATATAAAATTCAACTTTCACACTACGCACTTTACGTGCTCTGTTAATTTGCTTTTTAATGTGCATTTGATTGTCGATAAAAATGAAAATTTGCAGGCAGCCAACAAAGCTAATGCATAAAAAATTAATTTAATTGGCATCTATTAATAGTAAAAATATTTACGCAAATACTTTGTGCAAAAGCCGCCGATGCGATAAAAGTCAACATCAAAAGTTGTTTCAATGTTAAATGTTTGGCTGTTGATGTTGGCGTTGCAAATACAACAGCAACAACCAAAGCAACAACAACGACAACAACAACGAAAGCAACAATCACTGCAGACATTTAAATATTTGCAAAAGCTGTTAACTGATTTTTTTCTTGACTTAGCCTCTCGATTTGCGTGTCTCGTTTTTTTTCGTCAGCCGTTTGTCAATTTACAAGCTCTTACAATTTAACGCCTCTCAGACTGGAATTGTGCATGCCAAGCCTCAGAGTTACGGCACGCCTACAGCTGCAACTCGGCGTTTATAAATGCTTTATAAGCCGTGTGAATACACATACATATGTGTGTCACGCTGAGTTATCGTAAGTCAACACTTGACTAGTGAGTGATTTACGCTGCACCAAAGAGACAAGACAAGGCCATCTCGATAGTTTGAAGCGTTAAATTTGGACCGGAAGGGCCTTTGGTCAAACTTGCATCAGTTTTCTTTAAGGCTAGATAAGTTCAGCATCCTAACTGATTTTGGCGAACAACCAAAAATGAAGAGTATAATTATAAATGATAAATGTCAAACAACCGGAATATAAACTGAGAGACGAAACAACTTGCGGCTAAACGCAATGCGAGTGAAGGTAATGGAGTGGGGAGAGGGGCGCGGTAAGCTAGCTTCTTGGCAATAATATCAGCAGTAACAGCATCAGCTGCAGTTAAACAACCACAAAAACAAACAGACAGTTTGAGAAAGAGACAAAGAGATAGCGACAGAGACAGAGAGATAAAGCGAGGGAGGGAAGAAAGCTTTGGTTGCGGCAACAAAATCATTGCCAAGCGCAGGCAAGCAAGTTGCAAGGTTGACCACCAACAACAATGAGAGTAGTAGCAGGAGTAGTTGTAACTGCAATTCTATGACATTTACTGTATTTAAATGGAATTTGGCAAGCAAAGTTGTTGCCGCAACGCCCACACAACCTCCACAGCAATATATATAGTTGGCAACATATGGAAGTGGAGCTAAAGCTTAACTAACTGGCTGCTCGGCAGCTCGTACTAGTTGCTTGTGTTTGTTTGCCAAAATGTTAAATGTCTATCCGCAGTGGCCAAAGCACACACACAAGTCAACAGGAGCAGCAGAGGTAGCTGCAGCCAACTCGCATTTAGCCCACGTCTATGGCTGATTTGGCTCCGGCTAACTGGCTTTTGCGGTTGGCAATGCAACTAGCTGCACGTCTGAGCAGAGTTCCATTTCCTGTTTCTGTTTCTGTTCCTGACTGTCTGCCAGTCTCCCAGTCTGTTGTTTGCTCTTGGCATATTTGCAGCGCCGAGACATGACATCGACTTGAGGTGCAGCGCACACACTCAGACGAAACACAATATAATTGCATTTCAATGCCATTTGCAACAGAAATTTTGTAACCACAACTATATTCAGTGTGCCGAATCCACTTTCTAATTAGTTTGTGCTAGGCTCATTTTACTTAAAGCTCTCTTTTAGCTTCGCTCTCCTATCTTCCCTATTTTTTATTTTTTTGAGGCAGTGTGGTCTCAGCTCAGCTCATTACCCGTCCAATTAGTGGAGCCGTAAAAGGCGGGAGAGACGACCGCAGACTGCGCAAAAATTAATTTTAATTGCTATTTAACTGAGCGTGGCTCACAGATCCTTTTTGGCAGCGCCAGCAAACGTCAAAGGATTTCTTGCTTTTTATTATTTTTTATTGTATTTCCATTCTTTTTTCTTTTCTTGCTGCTGGCCAGCACTTGAGTGAATTAATTAATTTGTAAATGGCAGTTGGACACTTTTAAAGCCGCAACTGCAGCAGCTTCTACGGGTGAAGACTATTAATAAGCTACACGTTCTACCTTTTGGGCTAACAATAGCTAGATTTCACGATAGAACACGTTTTAATTTTAAAACACACACACACACACGCTTATGAGGCTAAGCGACACATTTCACTCTCAGGAGGTGGAGCTTTGGCACAAAAACTGTTCGTATCAGCGGAGACAACGAATTATCTAAATATCCGACTATGTTGTGGCCATTCCAAAAAGCTTGAGAGATGAGAAACGGTCAACCATTTAAGTTTTATCGATATAAGAGCAATCTTGACTCAAATGTTTAAATATATTTTGATTTATTCGAAAATTTGATTACTTAATAATTCATATAAGCAAATGCTTATTTTCATTGCTCATTTTTATTTTTAATATTCGATTAGTCTACTAAATATAAATTTAAATATTTGTTGCCATTCAAAATGTTTCTTTTTACTATTAGAATTGTAATTTTCTTTTAAGCTCGATTCACAAATTTGCCAATCCATAATGAATTATATTTATATTTAGTGGCTATCAATATTTTGATCCACAACATATTTTTGAGGCCATTTTGAATGAAACGTCTCGGAAATGAAGCGCTTAAAGTTGAATCAATAAAAACAATCTCAGTATACCCGATCGCTTATTAAATAAATTGGACTAATATAGCCTATGCCACAGAATACTCTTTTATACAGTCAAAATGCAAACATAAAAAATAAAAGCTGACTAAAAATAGCTAACCGCTAACAGCTCACAACTCAGAGCTTACACAGCTTGTCCCTTTACAATGTGCTTGCCTAGGTGTTAAAAATAAAGAGGGACAACAAAAATGCGGCAAGGCTCATTAGTGCCCAAAGCCCCTTGACACCTTCTCTTCAGTCGTCTCTCATCTCCCTCTCCCTCTCCCTCTCTCTCACGCGTTCTCCACTCCCGCCCGCTTCTCACTCTATTACATCTTCTGTTTCAGCGCGTCACGTCGTTGCCTTAATGAATTCAGCGTTTATGGCGCTTATTCCATTTGCTTTCATTATCACTACACACAAAGATAGATACACACACATGTGCACGTTGTCTCGCATATGTGTATGTACGTGTGTGCGTGACATGAACTTTTGGGACATTTGGATGGCGGCGAAATTTAAATATTTGACACATTGAAATGGAGGCCAAAGGTTTCCGTTCCGATTCACTCTTGTATCTCCGGCTGCTACGTGCCAGCTTTAACTTAATAACACAATCATAGGAAATTGCTTTCTCACAACAAAATTGCCATATATTCACACAGATTTATAAACTATACACACATGTACATGGCCGCCCCTCCATTTCTACTTAACTTATGTCTAATCAATCTCTTTTTTCTCTGCTCTGTTGCAGGTGCGCACATTGTTCGTCAGTGGCTTGCCAATGGATGCTAAGCCACGCGAGCTCTATTTGCTATTCAGAGCCTATGAGGTGAGTAATCCGTAACGAAAACTAGCCAAGCGCATGTTTATGCAAGACTTGGCCATGGTGGTCAGACTTCAAGATCTAGAAGGAGGTGTAGGGCAACCATCACTTGAATATTAATAAACGTAATGGCTAATTCCTTAAAATACCAAGGTGTGACCTTATTAGGTTGTATAGTCAGGAAATATGCTTTAAGAAAAGTAAAGAGAATAAATAAACGGCAAGCAATTTTAGAAAATAAAATAATATTGTAAAAATATTTTAAATATTACAAAAAGGTTAAAAGCCGTGAGGGAATTGAGCATTTTAAAAAAATATTTAAGAATTAAGAGTTATTAATGTTGTTTCTAAATTGTCGTCACACCTACCTCGAAAATGTAAGGTTATTAAAAATAACATCTATTGTACTTCGTCTACTAGGGCTACGAAGGATCTCTACTGAAAGTAACTAGCAAAAATGGCAAAACAGCATCGGTAAGTAATTGCTTTGCGGTAGATATAACGAAGCCAACACTAAAATTTATATAACATCGAACATATTGAACCACAGCCCGTCGGTTTCGTAACATTCCATACAAGAGCCGGAGCCGAGGCAGCCAAACAGGATCTACAGGTAACTATCAAAGCGAATTGCCTAGCAAAACTTGTATAACTTTTACAATAAATTTATATATATTTATATAAATATATATTATTACTACTCTATATACTTTTTAACTCTATATATTTATATAAATATATTCGATAAACACCAAATATTTTTAGCAACGCCTGCAAAAAGACTTCCCCAAACGGCAATCAAACTTTTCGGCGTGCCAAAAACATGTACACTTAGATTGTAAAGCACACAAAGACAAATTACAAAAAGAAAAAAAAAACAAATTGTACTCGTATTTTTGCCTGGCTTACACTGAGCGTTAAGAACAGTTAGGTCCCTCAATCGTATCTCAAGACCCACAGCAACAACTACAACAAACAAACAACAACAACAACAAGATGTACCTTTCACACGTGCTTGCATTTTGAAAGAACCTTCACCGCATTTACGTTTAAGTCTTTTCATATTGATTTGTTCTCTTTTATTGTTTTGTTATTGCATCTCGCTCTCAGAAAACTATTCTCCCTCTCTATCTCTCTCGCTCTCTCTCACACCACCACACACAATACATATACATCACATTAAACACTCTTCCGCTCTCTAATTCAATATATACATACATATAGCAACTGCAATGAGGCAATGAAGCACCAACAATAAGAACCTTTAATAATATATGCATATATATATATATATAAATGGAAATATATATGTGAAATTATATTTTTAGTGAACAATTTGTATGGCTGGAGCATGTCAATGCCACCCTTTTCAACCCCTAGGCACCACCCATTGGCACCGAATTTCTCCAACGAAAACAAAAACCCAAACGCCCCACTCATAGGTGCTCTTCCTATGCAGTTGCTGTTGTCATCTCCTGCTTTTGATTTATGTGCATATACCAGAGATAAACTCACACACACACACATACACAAACACTCTCAGTTAGATCCGAGTAACCCCTAACCCGTTAATATCTGAACAGAGCAAGGCATACAAAAGCACCACTCAATAGCCTCTACTCAGCGTTTCGTAAGCACTGCCAATAAGAAAAGAACTTGGTTTCTATGTACCCAATCGAATACAAAGATAAAAGTAGAATATGCAAAATCTGCTCTCTCCATTCCCCATCTCTCTCCGTCTCTCTCTTTCTTTCTTTACCTCTCGTTTTTCACTAGTTATGCGACATTTGAAATTATTTTTGGCGAATTGTTGCAAGATAACGAATTCCAAAATAGAAATTAAGGCAGTTGTATGGAGGGTCTTAAAAAAGCTTATTTAATTGAGAAAGACTTGTTTTATTTTGCAAGAATGAATTAAAAAACTACAAAAATAAATATACGAAAAACAAATAGAAAATACAAACCGCTGTATTTTGATCTGATCATTTACAGCAGGGTGTTCGCTTCGATCCCGATATGCCCCAAACAATTCGCTTGGAATTCGCCAAGAGTAACACGAAAGTGAGCAAACCCAAACCACAGCCCAATACAGCGACAACAGCCTCACATCCTGCATTGATGCACCCACTCACTGGACGTAAGTAAAAAAAAAACAAAATTGATAAACTAAAAAAAAGAAAAGCTCAACTCAGCAGCTGCTATTTTTTTAGTTACAAAATATTCTTTTGGTTTATGTTTGTAGTAAATAGTTTAAAAAAGATATAAAAAACACATATATTACTTCGAGCTAACGAATCGATGGCGTGCCTAGGGAGCGTACGCAGTGCACTTCCTAATTATTATGACACACACACACTCAAACACAACAATAATCCAACAATTGAACTGTTGAAATTCGCTTCAAGTGCACACTCTCTCTATTAATACAAATATGTTATATATAATCCGTATATATTGCTATATATCAAATGTGTTCAACTATCGTAAGCCCCAACTAAATTCGCTATAAATATTTACATAGGTTACAGCAACAGCTCAACAAACCGCAACAAACAACAACTACAACAACAACGACAACAACAACAAACAACCACAATGATATTATGTAACGCACTTTGGTCACTGTAACACTTTGTTTGAATCACACACCACGACACAGCCACACAGCCACATACACACACACACACTAAGACACACACTTATACACACAATCCGTGAGATGCATACTACAAAATGTATATTCAGATATAGATACATTTACTTATATATTTCGAAATTGAACTCTGCTTGAAGATTCTAGTCCAGAACATTTTGTAATTATTTGTACAAAATTCTAGGTGTTTTAATATATTGTTTAAATAGTTTTTTAAACAAGTTAACCACAACTAAATTTTGTAGGTTTTCATTTTCGATATAACGAAAAACTTAGGCAACGAACTTGAAACAAGTATATTTTTTTGATTACTTTTTATTTTGCAAACTTTTATCAAAATTAATAAGAAGCAGAAGCAAGAATAACTTTTTTACATAATGTGAAATCATAAAAATGTTCAAACTGGCGCTCAACTGACTTCTCGATTGTCTCTCTCTCTCTCTCTCTCTCTCTTTGTCTTGTTCTCTATTCCATTTTCTCATAGATCTGGGCGGGCCATTCTTTCCGGGCGGACCCGAGCTATGGCATCATCCGTTAGCGTATTCAGCCGCCGCCGCCGCTGAGCTACCCGGTGCCGCTGCCTTGCAGCATGCAACACTCGTGCATCCGGCATTGCATCCGCAGGTGCCCGTACGCTCCTATCTCTGACTAAATACAGACAAAGTAATGGAGCAGCCTATGCATCAAGTGAGTAAAGACGAAGCGCCATACAGGCTCACACATTATTAATTGTTGCCCCACTATGCGTGTTGCAGACTCAAATGACAATGCCACATCATCAGACAACTGCAACCGCTTTACATCCCAGCCAGCAGGCGGCTATGGCGCACTTAGCCGCTGCCGCTGCCGCTAACGGTGGTGCTGGTGGAGCAGCTGCGGCTGCTGCTGCCGCTGCGGCGCCGCAAGGTACTGCCGGTAACCCAGCTGCAGCTGCTGCCGCCGCCGCTGCTGCTGCGGCCGCATCACATCATCATTTTTTATCCAGTCCCGCTCTGGCTAGCCCCGCCGGCTCCACCAACAATGCCGCACATCCAGCTAATCCGCAAATAGCAGCTAATGCGCCCTGCTCGACGCTGTTCGTAGCCAATTTGGGTCAGTTTGTGTCCGAGCATGAGCTGAAGGAGGTTTTCTCTAGGTAAATTAATGACTTCAACTTTGATTACAATAATTATCGATATAAGCTAAGCCAGAAACGATAAGCGATATACCGATAAACCGTTTAAAGAAGATACACATTTAAACACGTTACAAAGTTTGAGTTGTTGAGCGAAAACTGCACCACATTGTTAACCACAGCAGCCACCTAAACAAACCACTAAAACCACCACCCTAACCACCAACTGCACCACAAATTTTTTCTTGAAACTCAAACTAATCGCAAAGACTAATCAACATATTTTTTGCGTTCTCTCTTTGGTTTGTCGTTTGTTGCCCATCACTTGTATTATACATGAAATATCGATAACCGACTACTACCTATATACCTATATATATATAAATATATATATATACATATATTGTATATGCAAAACAAAATATGTTAACATATATGCACAGTATGCCTGGCTTTTGTCGCCTACGAATGCACACAAAAGGTACGCACAATATCACAACTTCTATGCCTCCAACTTTGTCTTCAACTCTGCCTTCTCCAACACGAACTGCAACTTTCCACACTGCAACTGTCAACCAACAATTATCAACAATAGCAGCAGCTACCAACTGCAATACAACCAACACCAATACCAACATCAGCAGCAGCAGCAACAACAGCAACAGCAACACCAATTCTGGCCAGCAGCAGCAACAGCATCCGGTGGCCTTTATTGAATTCAACGATGCTCCGAGCGCCGCGCAGGCCATGCAACAGCTGCAGGGCAAGTATTTGCTCAGTTCAGATCGCGGCTGCATACGCATCGAGTATGCCAAGACGAAGATGCTTAACGAGTTGTCGCTGCCGCTCATGAATGGCAAGGCAGCAGCAGCAGCTGCAGCAGCGCAACAACAACTATTTTTATTGAATGGCGGCTTGGATTTGGGGCATGTTGCAAATACCAACATGCTAGTCACTGCACCAGCAATCAGCACCACAACACAAGCATCGACACAGCAGCAGCAACAGCAACAGCAACAGCTACAACAGCAGCAACATTTCCAACTACAGCAACAGCAAATGCAACAACAACAACTACAGCTACAGCCACCTGCAGGCTGTACCAGCACCAGCACCACTAGCGTTGTTGTTAACTCACTACAGCACAACCAACTTCATCCAAATCAGCACCACCAAAATCATCTCTTTAGAGACGTATGTATATGATAAATAAAAAGCAAAACAAAACCGCAATCAATGAAACCTAAAACTAAACGTAAAAGTAAAAGTAAACGTAAAAGTAAAAGTAATTTCGTTTATGTAGTTGCTAAATCACTTTCTATCTATCTAACCCTCTGTCTCTGTCGCACACACACACACCCACTTAACTATCGCTCAGCAATTCTTAAGCCTGTTTTTATATAACCTCCAAGCTTTTGAAATATTTAATGCAGCCAACTCTCACGCAAAGGGTTCTGCTCATAACTCACAACCTTTATGCTTCCAACCCAGGCACCATATATCATAAGCAAACAGTATGCAACCCACCCAAAAAAATGAACCAATTAACTATTTATGAAATTGCAAATTGTTATTGTTTAGCTCGGCTCGTTTACTTTGCATGGCAACAGCAGCATCACAGCAACAGCAACAACAACAGCAACAGCAACAACAGCAGCAGCAGCAAAAATTGCGACCAGGCAGGCATTTAAATACAAATTATAACAAACATATATGGCCAGCATAAAGCCCCAACTACACACACAACGACAACGATTTATGGCCACCTTATAGCACTTGACTTTATGCTACACACACACACACACTTCTCCCGTATTTTATATGGCCATCTTGCGGCCCGTCTCGCCTCGGTTCGCTGCGAAACTCGAGCTTCAGACATCCGTTAGTTTTAAATGCAAGCTTCCGCTTAGCCGCCACAACAGCAACACTTTTTTCACCTTAAGCTCAGCACAAACACACACACTTTTGCATAAATAGTCTGCATTCTGCCTGCTGCACTTGTTTATAATTCTAAGAGTCCACATAAATTTACTTTTTCAATTTTCGTGATCACAAACAGTGGCAGCGGCAACAACAAATAAATACAACAGCAACTACAAAAAAACAATAAAAACAGAGCATGAAAACTTTATAAAAAATGCAAAACACACACATACCACGCCCACAGTCATGTGCCGCCACCCACAACATTTATTATACCAAAGAAAAGTAGTTTAATATGAAGGAAGCAACACGAACAAGCCGAAGAATTCGTTTATTAGCTCAATTGCCATTTCGTAACTAGGAAAAACTTATAAATATTTAATTTACAAAATTTATTAAGCAGATGACTCAGGTAGCATTTACAAAAATATAGATACAAGATTGAAAGATGGATAGATAAATTTTCATTAGTATGCAAAGGTGGATGAATGAATTGCTTGCGTCTTTATTAACGGTAAAAATGAGGATAAGTTGTGTAAACGTAAATGAACTCTACGAAGCAGGTGAAACGATCGCAGCAAATGTAAATAACTAACGATCGAGGGAAACAAGTTTAAGCCTTACATTATATAGACACAGCCATTACACTAAACAGCAGTTAAAGTCGCCATGAAAGACTAAGTAATAGCCCTAGTCAATGCAGACTACCACCATAGAAGTGTCCATCTGACACATACGACTTAGTGATTGAAACAGAAATATAAGTATTCCAGAGCAAGGCACAATTGCGCTTGCCAATAGTCAGACTACATAAATTGGTGTCCCGCAATTAAATATATCGTCATTGAGAGCTCATATAAATGTGCAAAATATATTTGCAGTCAAGTTGTAAAAACTTTATAGCGACAAAATGTTCGTAGTACAATCTATAGCTTTTTTGCTTTTTGCAGTTGATTGCTTGCTCGAAATCAATTTAAAGCGTTTTACAAGCTGTGAGTGTTTCTCCTTTTCGGTAATGCTAGGGGCTTTTGTACTTGGGGTTAGTAATGATTGCGAAGCCAGCAACATCATAAAAAATTGCTTAGCAACCAAAGGGACTGGAGGGCTTCAAGGAACTGCTGCTTTAAGTTGTTGTAGAAAAGTTGGTTTTTTGCATGCTGCTTACACATAAAACATGATTCTTATAGCGGCACAGCCATAAAATAGTGGCTTGCTAGAAGGTTATGTGTGCGCATGGGTGTCTGTGTGTATGCTCATTGTGTGGGTCCGCTTGGAGGGGGCCCGGGGGAATCGTGAGCCACGCACCCACTCACCCACACACCCACTCACCCATACACACACATAGCCAGTCAGCCATGCATGTCCATTTAAAGTGTAACGCTTTAAGTACTATCCAAATCACTGAATGCACAAACTCCCAATGTCAAACTTCACTGACAGCCACTTACAACGCGAACTGTTCTACCAAACTACTTGCAGAGGAGCGGGTATGGAATCAAGGCATGATTTGCTCGCTAAGAAACTAGAGCGTGAAATGCAGCAACAACAGCAACATCAACAGCAGCAGCAACAACAACAGCAGCATCATCAGCAACAGCAGCAGCAGCAGCAGGCACACCATCAGCAGCATCAACATTTCCATCAGAGCCACCAGCCGCATCATCATCATCACCATCATCACCAACACCACCATCATCAGCAGCAGCAGTTTTTGATGACGCCGACAGCGACCTGACCCGGCAGCGCGAACGCACCACCAGCACCACCCACGCCGCTGACCCACTACCAAAATCTACAGCAGCAACAACACCACCAGCAGCAACCACTGCAGCACCACATCTATTCGTATGTGCTGCCAGCGACAACCCACATTGCCGCTTGATTGGTGCAGTGGTGCGACGGTCCTCAGCGACAGGCGCACATTTTGAGTTTGAGCGGATTTCCCTCTCCGCCCAGCATAGAGCAGTAAAGCTCCGCATGTGACGGATACATGTAAAGGAGGCAAAACTTTAGTTGTAGTATATTCAACAAAACAAACAAAAAAAATTTGAAAAATAAAAAAAAAAGGATATATAAAAATTATATATATATATAATTTATATGGCAAGCCTAACCCAGTTTAGTGAAATTTTTGACAGGCCGATGAAATGTATGCAAAAATTGTAGGTACCAAAAAAAATAAATAAAAAATAAAAGCAGCAAACGAGAAACTTGTAGTAAAATATACAAAAAAAATAAAAAAAAAACCAAATAAAAAATCGATAGATCGGATTAGATTGAGGGAACTTAATCTCAACAGTTAATATTGTCCCAATAGATACACAAACATGTCTGTATATATATCTATATATATTTACATATATGTTTATATATATATATATATATAAATATGAATTGCTGCAAACGATTTTTGAAACATTTTTAACTATGGTTGTTCTGATAGTTTGCATTATTTGCCTTTGCTTTCGAGATTTGGCTGAGATCGGTCATGAACTTTTCTTTTTTCTATTTATTTATTCAGTCACTTTCGAACATTGAAGAAATGGAATTGAGACATTAAAAGTTACGTACGTTTTTTTAATATTTTGATCAGTATAAAAAATCTTTTTAAATCATAATAACAAGTTAAGGGAAGAGAAAGCAAAAATACATATGAAATAAATAATAGTAAAAGAAAAAAGAAAACATAATTATAGCTTAACCGAATGTGCCCTTTAAATAGCTCTCTTTCTAGAATTATTACAAGACAAACAAAAAATGATAATGAAATATGAAAAATAAAAATTAAACCAAGTAAGTAATACATCTGTATGTTTGTGTATGTATATGCATTAAATTAATATCTTGAATCTAGTAATACTATTTCGAAATGTTAAAAAGAAAACAAAATATGTAAAAGTAATTGAAAAAGAAACAATTTAACAACGAGAACTAGTCGAAGTCATCATAAAAGAAGAAAGTGAAATTTATATTGAGGAAAACTGAACGCTGGTTTCGAAATTTATTTGTTATAATATCGTACTTATAAATCAATTGTGAGTTCGACACACACACACACACATATATATATATATATATATATATATATATAGATCCTGTTTGCCCTAGCAGTTAGAGCAAACAGGAAGTGTAGCTGGAACTGGCTCTGTGGCTGGTTTGATACAAATTCAAACACTCTCGACACACTTTCCGCCCAAAATAAAAAGAAAGATTGAAATTTCTGCAAAGGCTCTCGACTCCACCCTAAAGACTAGAAAATTGATAAACTTGTACTGTTGACTCTTCATCAACAACAACCACAAACTGAATTCCTAAACTCAATTTCAAAAAATGCTAGAACAATCAAGACAAACACATTTCTTGCGAAAACCAACGAACAAGAGGCAGTGGGGTAATAGCTACAGGTGTAAATTTCTCTCAAAGCAGAAAAGCACATGCAAACAGTAAACAGCAAGCAACAAACAGCAAACAGCAAACAGCAAACAACAACCAACCAACACAAACAACTTCTATGATTACTCGTACTCTATACACATTTACGAGTGAAATCGGTTACATATCATCTTACGTAGCGACAGTTGCTACAATTCAGCAACTACTTATATCTATTGTAACTAAACGAAACAACTACAAGTACACTTATGCTAAAGCAATGTAAACCAACAAACAAAAAACAAACAAATAACAACAAAAGGCAAGACATAGGCTTTTAAGTAGTTAATTACAACAAGCGGCGCGCTTAAAAATTTGAAAGCATAAAATAATATTTTATTTATTTGAAAACATTATTTTTGTCAGCATTGTTTAAATTATATAAGCATACATTCATTATTTAAATATATAAATATATATATTTAATTAAATTTTTATATTTACCAAAGTTGTCCTTACTAAATAACTTAAAATCGTTTACGTTAACCATTCCCAACATTTGTTAAACAAACCAACAGCAAATTAATAAACTTAAACATAATAAACATAAACGTAAATCTATTTAATACTTTGTTAAGATTAAACAAGAAACAACTAGACATACCAAAGGCATATCCGAAATGTTTGTTAATGCAAAGAAATCATTAAGAATATGTAAAATATATTATGGCAATAAGAATTGGCATAATTGGTTATGGATATCAAACAAAAAAAAACAAAAACAAAAACAAAATCTAAGAACATGTTAAAAATTTGTCTACTCCTCATTTTCTTAACTTTAATATTGAAATTTATTTCGTATATGTATAATTTCAATTGACTTTAGTCAAATGTAAAAGCATATTCCGTCCAATTACATTTCTTGCTATCCTCTTGCCGATCATCATCATTGTCATTAGCATCATCGATATCATTATCAGCTGCATCAAGAGCATTGATCATGACATTCAGGCGCGTTGGTCAGTCAACATATATATTAATATATATATAAGTTTGTGAAAGCACCTGACACACACACACACCATCTCACATACATATATAAAGTTAAAAAAGCTAGTTATAAGAGAACAAGTTTAATTATATTAATACTAATGCATATCATAAAATTGCGCCTTTAATGAAAATAAAGAACAAAAACCCAAAAACAAAAACAAAAACAAAATGAATGAAGCAAGAATATTTACAACTACAACTAAGCACATAATTAAATTAAACAAAAAGAAAGGAAAGTTTATCAAAACAAACCAAAATGGAATAGATGCTATGCCTAATACAAAATATTTTCGAAATTAATTTTTAAGCTTAAGAGTAACAGATATTCTTTGAGCAAAGGAAAGCAATGTATGTTAAATGCGTTCTTATTCGTAAATCTAAGACGCTGTCATATTTGTGTGTGTGTGAGTGTGTATGTGTGTGTGAAAGTTGTGCAACTTGGTTTGCCTAAAAAAATCATAGGCCTGCATCTGGAAGGAAAAATAAACGCGCCCAGCTAAATCATGTTCTCATTTAGCATAGCTCATGCATCTGTATCTATAACTATATAGAAAACTGACAACAAAGACATAAGACATTGCCACATTAGCTGCTTTCCACACATTCTCCTAACATTTCGCACGATTTCGAACAGCTAAACTACAATTGATACAAATTGGAGTTCACGGAGAAGTACAGAAAACATATTTGAATGGGAATATCTAAAGCATAATGAAACTAGTATGTAAATGATAAGCTAAAAACTAAAATAAACTAAACAATATGAATTATGGGAACATTATATGAAAATATTAATACATTTTTGAAACAAAAAAAATAATATATATATATATATATATATATATATATATATATATATATATATATATATATGTTTACATATATATATAAACCTACATGAAACTATAACAGATACATATCAGCAAAATGAAAAGTTTACCAGATAGAAAACAAATGAAACAAGTTTTACAGAGTATAAAACTAAAAATTAAAAACGATATGTTTTGATGTGGTTTTAAAACATTTTTAACAATGTAAGCGTAAAAAGGCAAAGCAGTTACCAAAAAAGAAAACAAAACAAAAAAACAATTGATAACAAAATAATAGAGACTACGTGTGTTTTACGCATCTATGGGCAATTAGTAATAGATTACAATTAAATACGACTTACATTTGTATATGCAAATACCCATGGTATGCAAGTAAGCGGCAGCAGCAGTAATAGCAAACCAAATTTGTATTTATTATTGCGTTAGCTCTTAGCTATATACATATATATAAATATTTGTACTTTACGTTTCGCGCATCTCGAAAATGGTTCATCATTTGCATAAATAGAACTGGCCTTTCCCCACACATTCGATATCAGTTGCCTTATGTTTGCCTGCTGACAGATAACTAAACCAATTTGTTTTGTAACCATACTAATTCTTAAGTACTTGATGTATTGTATACCATTTCTATATACACTATATATATACACTATTTTTTCGTACTTGCGTTTATATGTAGCGATTATTTAGCCTTTTTTAATTGACGGTATTAATTATGTTTAATAAATTCATTATGTTCGTTAAACAAACAAAAAACAAAAGCCAACAAACATTGTTTCATTTATAACTATTTATTTATTTACTTTATTTTCCACTTTTTATTCTTTCAACCATGAAAAGATGCGCATAAAACCTTCAAGAAACGAATTTTAAATTAGTGAAATTTTTTGCAACAACTATACAACTAAATACATACAACAACAATATTTATGTATATATATATATATATATTTAAAGCCCTGAATAAATTAGGAAACTGGAAAATATATATCATATGTATTCGAATAGAAAATGCTGGATAAAATATTGTACATTTTGTTTATAACATAAAAACTGCGAGCTAAACACGCCTGATCAGTTGAATTATACATATATATATATATATATATATATATATATATATATATATATATATATACTATATAAATGCATACATTATACTCGTATACAAATATACACATACATATACACGAACAAAAACTCATATATGTATATCTATATATATATATATATATATAAATATATATATATATATATATATATATATGTATATACGTATAGGCATATAAGTAGAACAAATTGATATTGAATATTGAAAATATCAATGAAAAAGCGATCAAGAAGAAATATATATAAAAAGTAAAAACAAAAAACAAGTGGAATGGGAAACACTTAAAATTAAATTGAAAACATATCAAACTCGTGCCCGATATAAAAAAAAATAACTATATATGTGCATACATATATATAATATATATATATATATATATATATATATATATATATATATATATATATATATATATATATATATATATATATACATATATAAATACATATATATAAATATATACATATATATGAAAAAGCAGCATCAAATTATGCGCAGCAATTTTGAAATTTAAAAAAAATTATATATATATATATATTAATAATGAAATTCATGTATATGAAGTGGGTGCAATATTTAATTGCATATGGCGTCAACTTTTATCATCATAATATTAAATTATAATATAATATATATAATTCAATATAATATTAACTACAACTACAAGAAATGGCAACATTTTTGTCTATTTTGAGGCTCATTTATTTCAAGTTTTTGCAAACCATTTAACAACTCTTAATTTTAAAACAAAAAGAAGCCCCTTTTGCTAGTATTGTAAAAATAAAATTGAAAGGAATGAAAGATAACACAAACAACAAATATACAAAGGAGTGCAAGCTAAGACAAAGATTAGCTAAATATTATTATAAACTTACATAAACAGAAACAAAAAAAAAACAAAATCGAAAACAAAAACAAAAAAATATGAATATCAGCCTTGTTCTTTATATATATTTAAAAGTAAACCAAACAAACAAAAAGCATACAATATATTAATAAATTATTAACTACTATATTAAAATTAAACTAAAAAAAAATGACAAAAAAAACATACATAAATATTTAGCAAAAATATTGTATTTGTGAGTTTAAAATGTGAGTTGTTGCATACGAAAACAGATAGGAAATCGACGATTGGCAGTTACCAGGAGAACGAAACAAACTGAATTGGCAGAGAGACAAGAAAGATTATGAATTGAACAATTGAAGAATCGGAGAATTGGCGAATTGATCGTGAACATTTTCACATAATTTATGAGAAAACAATAAACAGCAACCAGCGATTAGGATGAAACGCAACTTATTTTAATTACATTATCGTAATATCAGAAACTTATTATTGTACTACAAAAAATATAAATAAGCAGCAGACAAAATAACATACAAGCAAGAACACAAATTATACAATTTGATAATATTTCTCCCCCCTTTAATCATCAGAGCGATGCACACAGACCCTGCCAGAGATGAGAAACCAATAAGAATTAAAGAAAACAGGGTCTTGGCAGTGCGAACTGCAACAGTAGCAACAACAACAGCAGCAACAAATAATATGTAATACAAATAATGAATAAAAACTTTAACAATTGTTTTGTGTAATTGTAAACAAATTTGTGTTTGCTTTCCTCGGACCAAGGGTCGGAAACAGCGGCAGATAGCGAGTGTCTGATGAGCTGTTCACCAGCTGATGATCTGCACATTACCCAATAAATCATGAGTCATATATGTTGACCATGCCATTATCTTTATATATATCCAGGCAGACAACTCCTGAAGCCCAGAATGATGATTTACTACGACGCCTGACGTGGACTATCGAGACAGGAGTGCACTGATCAGCCACTGTGAACGCTGCTGTAACAAATTCCAAAAAAAAGCCGCAGCAATTCCCAAGTACTCATCGAAGATGCAGTTTGCATTTACAAAACCCTAGGCAAACATAGGACTGTCAAATTTAGCTTTGATTCACAGACAGGAGCAAGAAAGTAGCGATTTGAATTGACCCGTAAAAATGTAAATGTAGAGCATTAGTAAGTCAGGCAGGGAGAACTGGGAGCCGCTGCTCAACATGTGTTTGAGCCCGCATCCATTAGAACAACAAAAGCAATATTGAGTCAATTAAAGTAATTAATTTTGCAGCTTGATAGAAATAAATTGTTATTAAACTTTGCAAAAAATCTCAAATACTGATTAGCCTTATCGCAGGCGGCAGAGCCGGCCGTAAGGGGTCCCAAAAGAATTTGAATGCATAATCCCCTTGAAATGGTTTGCATCTACAACCGTAAATCTAATCCAGATGCTGGCGTCGCCCTGGGGTCGCGAGCATTGTTGATAAGCCAAGTACACAGAGCTTAGCTAAGCGGGTCATTCATATATCAGTAGTTACTGTACAGGGTTTGCGAGACGGCGAACAGTTAAAGTCTCTATACACAAAATGCAGTTTTGATGAACTGAGCTACCTGCGCAATGGCTGCTACCTGTGGCATGGAAACTATACTAAAAAGGCGTGGAAAATATTCACAAAAACGAAATGAAACACCCTGTTAGCGAATACATAAGAGATTCTTGCAAAAGCGGAGTCGATATTTGTGCTCGTTCAGCGGGTCTGAATCAGTCCCATTTGTACTTCGCGACGAGACAGTTCGAAAGTTAAAATGCGCTTGATTTGTTTGCTGCTTTGCGCAGCTGCCACGTTCCAGCTCAGCCTCGCTGACAACAAAGTATCCTGCAAGGACGAACAGGGCCATGATGTGGACTGGTAAGTGTTTAACTGAAAAAACAAGTACAGAATATGTGCTAAATCAGAACGATCAGTCACATAATGAACTGAACTTTGTGTCTTTGTGACAAACACAAAAGAAACTCAAATTGAGCTGAACGAAAACTTGATGAATGTATTAAGAGATCTCAATAGGCAATGTACTGTCTTAATAGACTAGACCTTTTCAACTTTATCAACATTAAAAAAAAACAATCTGGTGCCTCAATCTGCGCACAATCCTCTGAGCAAAGCGGAATATTTCCAAGCTAAAGCTTTACATTATCATTTAAGCGACGCTTATCCTTCAAGCGACTGCATTAGCCAACTATTGATGCAAATGTCCGCTAGAAAAATAAATATTCCTGCAAAGCTTACAATACGAGTACTCTATCAATTGAATTCTGCATTAGTTTCATTTGTTCACTTGGGGAATTAGATCTATTTCACTTCGGTTTCTACCCAGCGTCAGAATATTACCGCAACAAACTAAGCCCTGTGGCTAACTACGGTTCACTCTGGACAAGCAACACACTATTTTTCAACAATGCGAGTTAATGGACCAACTGCATAATACTCGCTTAAGTTTTAAAGACAAGAGAAACATTAAAACAATGAAATTTTAATAATTTTTTTTATTTTAATTAATTTCAATTACTGAACTCAATCTCAATCAATACAAGTTTTATCAAAGTTGAGTTCTTGTCTGAATCTTTTGAATACAATTGAAAACTAAAAAAACTTTATGTGAAATTGCCACAGGTGGTACATGTACAAGCTGCCGAAGCACTATGCCCAGGGAGCACAGAATGGACAGGATGTGAGTGGCTTGCGATATTTGTATGTGACCAGCGCCAGCTACGACAACTGGCAGTTGTCGGGAAGGCGCATTAGTGATGCTAACTCGCTGCCAGCGCAGACTCTGAAGCCTCTCTACGCGGACCAGCACCGGGTGCTGTTGGCTGCCTACAACGATGAGTATCCCAATGGCACGGTGTCTGCCTCCGGGGGCCACACGAAGGGCGTCATTGCCACCGATGGCACAACAGGCATGTGGCTGGTGCACTCGGTGCCCAAATATCCCACTGTGCCCGACTATAGTTACCCCACATCGGCTGAGCACTATGGACAGAGCCTGCTCTGCATGACGGTGGACGCTGAAGGCGTGGAGAAGGTGGGCGAGCTGCTTGTCTATAATGAGCCGCATTTCTACTATGAACGCAATCCCCTGCTGAAGGTTAGCGAAGCGTTTCCCAGTTTGGAGCGCGCTTTGAAGCGCCAATGGCGCACTGAAGCGCCCTTCCAAAAGGAAGTGGAGCTGCGCACACTTGATGGCAAGCAGTTTAGACTCTTTGGCAAAAGTCCTCGGGCCGACATCGAGCTGTATAGCGATATGGTGGCTCCCGCCCTTGGCGTCAATCTCTTTGTGGAGGCCTGGCGCGATGGAGCTGGCAACCTGCCCGACACCTGTGACAAGGCCAACAAAGTGTACAACGTTCAAGACATTTCCAATGCTGAGTTCCTCGTGGAATTCAAGACCACCGGCGATCACTCCAAGTGGGCCGTCTCTGAGGAATCGGGCATCAAGCTGCATCGCTGGCGTATCGGCGGTGGCGATTGGATCTGCATCGGCGACATCAACAGGCAACAGGCACAACACCATCGCGGCGGCGGCACCGTCTGCCACAAGAGCTCCCGAGTATCGGATCTCTATCGAAAGCTTGTGGCCAACTACGAAAAATGTAACTAAGAATTTGAGACGATGCTGCCTAATAAAAGTCAATTTCCGAAGCCAAATTGAATTCTCCTACATTGAGCATAGATTATCGAAAGACCACTTCTAAAGCTGAGAAATATATTGAATAGACGATAAACCTCTTGGACTTCTAACGGTCATAGTTATATCTACTATATATTTCCAAATCTGTAAGGTCAATAGCCATTTAAATGGAGTTTACACATATGTTTCTAAAGATTCCTTCCCAAAGTGCGACATCAAACTATATACCAAATTTGGTCTATATATTTGAAGTTTTCTTCGTTTCATGTTGCACAAGACTATAAAAATCTACCTAAGTATATAATATATTAAGTGGAGTCGCCCACAACTTGGTCTGCCTGTTACAGCACTGAAGATTAATTTAACGATTGCTGTTAAAATGTGAATCGATTATCCAGTTTATAAATCGTATCGTTGACAAATCAAGGCTTACTATGAAAGTGCATTATAAGAGCTGAAATCTAGGCTACAATGGACTGTGCAGGAAACAAGTATTCCGCTCATACAGTTATTTTAGCTTCTATAAGGGTGGGGACCGAGTTAGGTGAGCTCAATGGGACCCAGAATTACACTCTTCAAAAAAATACAAAGCCTAACTGATGAGTTTCAGAAACTTAAAATGAAGAGGACTTTATTATTGCACTCATTAATGTTTTGTCATTCTCAATCAGTAACAAAAAAAGAAACAAATCACAAATTAGTCAGGATATACAACTACGAGATACCTGAACTCTCTTCGATCAGTTGCCTAATATAATAAATTGAAGAGCTTCAGTTCTAGCTGTTAATACTCAACTATAGATTACATCCAAAATGGCATATATCCAAGATCTGTATCTGTGGTAAGGCGGATAATGCTATGTTGATTCGGCTAAGTGTGCGTTGCGCAGACTTCAACTGTAGATGGCTTTGTGGCGCCATCTGTTGTAAATTACAGCGTTAGCTCGTTAAGAAAGGTGACGTCACAAGATGGCGTCTACCAGGGCTGGCGAACACAAACCAAACAGCTGTTAATAAACGAAGCGAAAAAGAAGGAAAACGCGAAAAAAACAAACCGCAGCTGGAAAAAGCCAATCCGACATAAAAATACATTAATTAGTATATTCATATATATATATACACATGTTTTGTTGCCTGCGCACGTGCCTCAATGGAGGGCAGCTACGAAAACCAACAGCAGCCGCGCATCGATTAAGAGAGCCCGAAGTGCATCTCGATGCAGCGCATATGGGTAAGTTAATCCATTATATACAGGGTATACATATGTGTTTTGATAATACCCTAAACCTATGATTTTCAGGCCCTGATGTTATATTGCTCTCTCATCAGCTAAGAGTCACAGGCACAGGTGGCGTGCTGGCCACAGCGCCTTTGGTCCAATCAAAATCCTACTTCGAGGTGAAGATCCAACAGAGCGGCAGCTGGTCCATTGGCTTGGCCACTCGCCAAGCTGACTTATCCCGCAAATGGGGTGGCGGAGATCGCGAATCATGGTGCCTGTGCTCCGACAATGCCACACGCCACAACGACGAGGAGTTCCGTCCAGTGGTTGCCAATAGCGCACAGCCTACATCCGCCACCAAAACAGTCACAACTACTGCCAATGGCATATTGAACAATAGTGCAGCAGCTGCTGCTGGTCTGATTGCCATTGAGGATTTGCAGGAGGATCTGTTGATGACCACAGGATTGGAAGAGAAGTCGCAGTCAGAATTAAGCCCCGTAACTACTTTAATCAGTGCACCACAACGGGACTTTCCCGACGAGGGAGACATACTGGGCGTGGCTTTCGACCATGTCGAACTCAATTTCTATTTCAATGGCAAGAACTTGGAGGTGCCCTTCAGGAATGTACGTGGCGCGGCCCTCTTTCCCGTCATCTATGGTATGAATTTGTTCGTGTACAGTGAAGTCACTCTTTGTAAGGGCATGCACATTTCCAGTAGCTATATAATGATACCCTGTCCGCATTTATGATCATATATTCTTGATCAGTAGCAGCAGGCGAGCCTCTTTAGCTGTCTGTCTGCCTAATCATCAATCTGACCGTCCTCCCGTCTGCTACAACAAGATTCGCACATGAAATTTTGTAAATGAAATTATTTAATTAATTTATTCATTTAGTTTATATCTTATTTATTTGTCACAAAATGTTTTTAAAGCTTAAATTAAATTGTAAAGCTTTTTAAAGATTCGAGTTGATTGTCTAGTGATACAAGTCAAATTTCCTCATTTTAATACATTTCTGCTTAACAGAGTGGCCTGTTAACTGATATTTCACTTATTTGCCTGGCTTTAACTAAATATATTTGCTCTGGTCTATTTTCAGTGGGAAACGGCGCCATTCTAGACATTATTCTGGATAACTTTACGCACGGTCCACCATCGGGATTCGAACGCATTTTATTGGAACAATCGCTGCTTTAGGAAATTACTCTTGAACTTCGTTTGCCATAGATCAAAATTGTAGCCTTAAGCTGGGACACAGGTGTTTGTGTGTTGCTTCCTGCTTCCTGATCTGTTCCAGACACAAATGTATAAAATTCTATTATTTCTAGTCTCGCAACCGCAAGTGTTGATGCCATGAAATAGCTTTCAAATTAAATAATTCGGAGCCGTCACGCTAAAGACTAACCATCACTTAATTAGCACTTACGAATAGTATCAACTGGCTTTTTTTACAGTTATATATTGGCACCCATCTCTCTTAAATTCTTTTAACGAATTCTGTATATTAAAGTCTATCTATTTATCTATACTGAACAACTTTCAGACTATCTGTAGAGCTAATTAGATATTATTTGTTCAAAATCATTATTGCTGGATACATTTTCTGTATATGGACTATGCTTCCAAGAAAATCAGTATTGTATATCTTATTCTTTACCCAATTTAAATGCTTTACAACAAACAACAAACTCTGAGGAAACCAGCTATATAAAATATGAAAGTTATTTCAAATTGTCGCATTTGTGGTTCAAATAATTTTTGAGTGTATTTCATTATTTTAGCTGTATGTTTTTAAAGTGATTTAAAGAGTAGCTAGAAACTTGCAACTGTTTTGTATAATACACACATAAAGACAACATTACACAGAATTAAGGCAGAAGTATTTATATATATATTCCATATACATGTATACAAATATCTAAAAAGTATAATACTTTCTATCTCCCACATTCCAACTTATTTATATGTACTCGAGCACGGAAATTCACTAACTATATACACTTTATAATTAAGGATATGTACTTAACGCTTCTAAAACTGACTTATCCGCGCGCGGACAATAATGAATGTAATGTAAACTTGTATTGTGCGTACTTAACTTAAAAATATATATACCATCGACCACATACCACTTATATAGATATATATGAAGCAAGGCTTGATCAATGAATTGTTTAGCTTGTCATTGAAATCAATGTAAATTAAATTATTTGAAAAATCAGAAAAAAAAGACGATCGAAAAATTCTAGTTTAATTTTTATAATTAATTTCCTTCTGGCTCAAGGGTGATCTAAATTCGTAGTGGCATATGTAGAGGATTGGCTTAGATCAGCAGTGGCTGAGTAGTTGTTCGATCGCCGCCAGATGGGCAAGGGCGAGATAATACAGATACACATTGGGCAAGCTGGTGTACAGATTGCAAATGCATGCTGGGAGCTCTACTGCCTGGAGCATGGCATCCTCTCAAACGGACGGCTGATGAGCAAACCCTGCGATGAATCCTTTCTCACATTTTTCGAATTAAGTGAACATGAGCCCAGCGTGCAGCCGCGTCTGATCATGATTGACACGGAGCCAACGGTTATAGGTGCCCGGCAACTATTTACTCTGCCTATTGCTATCTACTAATTAGCTTTACTTTAATACTCCTTTACGAATAGAAACGAGTTTATTGGATACTTGAGCAGTGTCCGTCTTGCTGTTTGTCATCGTGAAGCTAGAGATTTGTATTTGTGAATATATATAATAGTGTTCTCTTGTCTGATTAGATGTTGGGATTTTTGAGTGTGCCCATCTGTAAGAGAATTAGTATATCTTTTACAGGATTAAAAATGGCGAAGAGCCATGAAATGAAAATGTCAAGGCTAAATCCTACGGGTACAGGATAAATCGGCAAAAATGGTGTCTTATTGTTTTATAGCTCCAAGATTTTCTTCTGACCAAATTAATACCCTATTCATTATCGTTCCCTGAGTAGCATATTTCATTAGAAATCCCTTTATCGTCCAAAGCTTTAGAGCTTTGATTAACAAAGTTTACTGATGGATTACTGTGGATTCTCACAATAGCCACACCTCTTAATTATTGGGCTCCTTTTTATACCCTGATCCCATTGTTTAAATAATTTTAGCTATTAAACCGTGAACTAGAATTATGCAGTCGGTTGCTGCAGACTTCTATGTTTTAACTTGCTTTGCTTGCCCTTCTTTCAGATGAGATACGGACGGGAGCTTATCGCAATCTATTTAATCCGCACACGCTTATCACGGGCAAGGATGACAGCGGCAGTAACTTTGCCCGAGGCTACAATTTGATGGCCAGTGAGTTGCTGGATCGGACCATGAATGCAATACGCCGTGTCGCCGAACGTTGTCGTAGCCTGCGCGGCTTTCTGGTCTTTCGTGCGATTGGCGGCGGCACTGGCTCTGGCCTGGGCACGCGAATAATGGAGCAGCTGGTCCAGGACTTTGGCAGAAAAGTTACTGTCATTGAGTTTCTAGTATATCCATCACCTTCGTAAGTAGTTGAGCTCGACGTATTCAATCTGATTTCAATCTGAATTACAGCATTTCCCCTGTAATTGTGGAGCCGTACAATGCTCTGCTGGCCGCCCACTTTTCCATGGATTGTGCGGATGTATCCTTCATTGTGGATAACGAAGCCCTTTATGATATCTGTGCGAGCACCTTGAATGTGCCCGCACCCACGTACACCAATCTAAACCGCATCATTGGCCAAGTGGTGTCTGCGTTCACGGCTTCGCAACGATTTTCGGGCCAATCGGTAAGCTTTCAAGAGTTGCAGACGAATTTGGTGCCGTATCCGCGTATACATTACCCCCTGATCAATTATGCACCTTTGGTGCCTGTCACACACTCACAATTCGTCAACCAGAGCACCGCTCAACTGACTGGCCAGTGTTTCCAAATGAGCAATCAAATGGTTCGCTGCAATCCCTCCCACGGCAAGTATATGGCTTGTGTGCTGCTCTATCGTGGCGACGTTGCGCCCAATGAGATCAACTCAGCACTGGAAAGTATTAAACGGTCGAAGTCCTTTAAGTTTGTGGACTGGTCACCCACAGGCTTTAAGATCGGAGTCAGCAGCATGCCCCCAGTATATGTGCCGCATGGCGACCTAGCGCCCACGAGTCGCGCCTGTGTGGCTATCTCGAATAATACGAATATACGGATTGCCTGGTGTCGTTTGGTCAACAAATTCGATAAGCTGTATCAGCGGCGCGCCTTCGTCTATCACTATGTGGGCGAGGGACTCGAGGAGGGCAACTTCAATGAGGCTTCGGAGAATATATGCCAACTGGTGCACGATTATCTCGAGGTGGACTCCTCGGCACAAATCTCCCAACGTAACTCTGAACATCATAGTGACGAATAATGAACTTGTGCACTGTCTTTTTTTTAAATAAACCCCAAAAAATCATTTCTTGTGCACAGCGAAACCCCTGTTAATGGACAACTCCATTAGGTGGAAATCTCTATTCGACTGGCAGTCAAACAACGAAGAAATTGAAAATATATATTTATATATATACATATTTAATTTGGGATCCATTGGAATTTGTAGTCAACATTTTAGCCTCTACAGGATTTACTGTGGCCGTCCACTCATAGGAGATTTAACTGTATTTGCGTAAGTGATTCTGAGGTAATTGCGGTCCAATTGTCGTCTCGATGGCTTTATCAAAGAAAATAAAAAAACCGTTGAACAAATTAAGTATTTATGGACCCGGCTTAAACAAATATTGACCCAGCCCACAATTTGCGTTGCTTGACCCCGGTTCCGTAATATGAGTGAGGCAAGGAGTGGCGGTAGCGACGGTGTTTCGGTGGTTCGGTGTTTTAGCGATGCGCTGCTCTGTGGTGCAGCTGGTCCAGGGTACTGTATAATTAAAATGATCGCAGGCAAGGGTTTAGCACGTACCGAGGCAAAAGTCGCGCTTATCGCGATCGCACCCAGGGCAAGGTCTCTGGGCATGCTCGCTCTTTCTTTATATATATATATATATTTGGTTGCTTGTGTGCCTTGGGGCCTTCCACTTCCTCGGGGCCTCGCCGTGACGTGACTTACGCACGCTTAATGCGCGATTATCGATGGAGCCACCACATGGGGCTCCCCTCGCTATCTTTTTGCCAGATCTTCCGCACGCAGTTCTCGGACTGTAGGTCGGGATCTTATCAGCGCCGTTTGGTGGTCCTTGCTGACCGACCGACCAACGAATCGACCTATCGAGCGGACCAACCGTTGTTATTATAAGCATTATCATTATGATCCATGCCGTGGCCATTCCTTTGTCTGTGTTAACTGTTGCTAATCTTAAATTGCGCACACAATGCTTTTTTGTTTTGCAGCGTGAGAACCGCTGCGTGTGGGTTCCATCAACGCCGTTCTCCAGTCTCCTCCTCGAGCCCAAGGATCGGCGCAGCAAACGTGTTAATGAGCTAAAGGAAATGCTGCGTCAGGACCACCTTAGGCGGTGCCTGGCAGCATCAAATGAAGTTGTTATGTTTTATAGGGTACCGCGGCTAATAAAGCAATTTGGCTTATGCGCCAAAAAGAAAGCGATGCGATACGAAGCAACGCTACGGTACAGTTGACCGCCGAATGCAGCATCGGAAGCTCTTCGGAGGGGCAGACAACGGGCAGGAGACGGCGACCCCTGCCATAGTGTATTTGAAATATCTAGTTAACTTGCTAGCTGTACCCCAAACAGAGCTCTGACCTTCTTTATTTATGCACTAATCCGTGGGAAATGCGCACCCAAACACCTGGGGCCGATTTATGCCCCTGCTTGTAATGCCCCAGCACCCGCGCCGACTGCAAAAAGCGACAGCTTAGCCAATGGCTAAGCTGCTTAGTCCGATCAACGAATTCCTGGTACTCTGCCAAAATATGAAGAACTCCACGAAACTGAAATAAACAAACTATAAATATATTGCTTTTGTAAAGTGTATCGTTTGTGGCACAAATGCACAAACTGCATTTCAATTATTATTTCTTTTTATATAACATAATAACTCATTTGAATAGCCAATCAATTGATGACTGACACAATTATGTATTTTGTTGACTTACTCTATGGTTAAATAAATTAAATACAATCTTTAGACTGTAGCTAAACAATGCCTGATTTGACTTTTTCTCAAATTAAATTAATTTTCATTTTGTGAGTGTTAATATTAAATATTTGTATGTACTTAACTGACTTGAAGTAATATATATTTTTGAAAAATATTTCTATCCCTTGATCTCGATATATACATAAATATATTAAACATATTTAGTTTAATTATAACGTTATTGGCTTTAAAAAAGGCATCTTAAATGTTATGTATATGTATATACATATTTCTTATTATCTTGTAAGACTTTCATTTAGAAATGTCGAGTCAAACTTATTAGTAAAAATGGTTTGCCAATGTGTAGTGCCATGTTAATGATTGGGAACTATATCTTAATTGTTGCAAAACTGTCATTGCATACACGAATATTGCAATTAAATTATAATTATTAAAATGATTTTGGCAATGACCACTGAAGTCAATTGTAGGATCTGCATATCATCACTGAGTTTATCACATAGTTGAGGGACTGGCTTTCAGCTAGGGCATTCATATATGCACTAACATTAAGCAACCGTCGAGTGAATTAATAAAGCGCCTTACCATTGCGAGGCGGCCACGCATTAAACGACAAACACAACAACTGCAACAACTGCAACAATGCAACAGCAGGCTGGCTGGCTGGCAGGAAAAACGCAGATCGGAGCGAACACCATGCCACATGTGGCTGGTTGGCCTGGCAAATAGATGCCACATGAGTGCGAGAGTCGGAATCATCGGTGGAATCGTCAGCGTCAACCAATGCAACAAGCACTCCACTCCACAATATAGTTTAGCCGAGGGCCAAACATTTTGCAATTGCAATTTTCGACTTGATTTCCAAGTGAACTCAGCTTCAGCCTGAGTCTTTGCCACAGCGGAGCGGTGCGCATTGTACGTTGGGGCAACACCTACCGAGGAAAAAAAGGAACCTGCTGCGGTGGGCGGCAAACAGTGTTGAGGGTGTCCAGAAAGAGAGGTCGCAGGGGGAAATTTTTGTGGCGCAGCACAAGCAACTGTTGCCGGGCACACGCAGCAAGTGTTTCGATTTATGTTTTTGCGCCTCTCGACTGCAGTCAAAACACAACGTGCAACACATTGCCAGCGTGCGGCGTGCGGCGTGCAGCGTGCAGCGTGCAGCGTGCAGCGAGCAGCGAGCAGCGTACAGCGTGCAGCGTGGAACATAGCCACATGGCCGGATCGCAGTCGACGTTTCACTCTTGGCGTTTTCATTCAAAATTTTTAACTATGGCTGTCCCGACTGTCCATGCGGAGCGAGGACCACTTGTTGCTCTTTTATTCATTCAATTTGTCAGTTTTGCACGAGAGTCCCCACTACAAGCTCCTACTTCGACTACGACTCTGACTCCAACTCCGTCTTCTTGCACCAAAACCAAGGCACAGTCACAATTTGCTTGGCCAGAGAGAGAGCGAGTCAAAAGGTTATCGCCGCCACTTCAGCATTTATACACAGCATCATCATCATCAGCAACAGCATCTGCATCAGCATCAGCATTAGCATCATCATGATGTTCCGCTTGCAACATGACGCCGCATGCAACAACAACAACAAATTATTAGTGGTAATATTTGTGAAATATTTGTTTTCTAATCTGTAAACACCAATCATATTAGCAATTTGAATATGACAGCAGCAGCAAACAGTAACAGGCAAATGTTGTTGCTGTTGGTTGGCTGTTGGAGCTGCTGCTGCAACATTTTGTTGGCCTGGTCAACGGTCAGTTGCTCGTGGCTAGGCTAGTTGCTTGGCTAAATGTATGTGGTGGGTGGCTGGGTAGGTGGAGCCCGTGAGTTATTATCTATTCAATTGTTGCACTTGGCTCTATGGTACGCTGCTTCTTTACCTCCAGCAATTTTAATGTATGTATATATATATTTTTTTTGCGTGCTGGCTGGCCAAATTAATTGAACAAGCGCTGCCTTTTGCTTGCCTTGGGCCAGAGCAGTTTGGAATTGTCTGATTGGCAAGTGTAAAAAGTAAAATAAGCCACGAGAGGACGGCGAGAAGGAAGAGTCTTTTGCATTTATGAGCGCCCGTTTGTGATGAATGCCGTGTGTATTTGTGCGGCTCGTTAGGCCCGTCGCCTTGCCACATCGTTTACAACACTTTAAGAGCAGCTCTTCAGCTCTACTCCCGTCCAAGCACATCATAAGCTGATGCATTGGCAGCCATTAGCAAGCCAATTGACATACTCCTGACTGACAGCTCGACAGACGGCAGCATGCAACTTGCAACGAGCAACAAGCGACGGGCAACGTGCAACTGGCAACTGGCAACGTCTGCAGCTAAGTGCTGCAAATTTATCACAGAGCCTCATCGTCGTCGCAGGTATTGCCAAAAATGGCACAAATAACGACATAATTTGGAGATACACACAGACGCAGCTAGCATCCAAACTGATCTCCGAGACGCAGAAAAAGAACATATGCAAATTGCTGCTTGTCCTCCACACATCGTCCCCAAAAATGGTTTCCAAAAAATCGTTAAGCCAAACTCGAGCTGCATCTGCGTAGAGTGTCTCAGTGATAGCTTCTTTGCTTCTTTACTTCTTTGCTCTTGCACACTACAATTGGGCATCGAAACTTTATAAAGCGCTAGAGACTAAAGTCTCAAGATTAAAGAGATCGCGAGTTATGTAGACTCTGTGATAAGTTTAACTCTTCACAAATTCATTTTGATATTTAAGTAGAAGTTGAAGTCGAATAATTAAAAATAATACTGTCTAAGAACTAGACATAATACTCATTTGGAACGGTCTGCTTGCTTTCAAATTACTTTTGCAAAAGACACATGTAAACACATGTAAAAGACACAAATAAACAAAAGTCTTAGTTACTGTATATAATTATATAAACGTCGATTACTATTAGACATATGAATATTAACAATATAAAGAAAATGTTTATTGATATTTAAGATGCTCCTTAACCAAAAGATTTTATACAAAGACTATAATTTGGCTGCATGATCGATCCATCACGACTAAAAGAGTCGTCAACGAAACTTGAAGAGCCTCTAGCTTCAATGTGATGTTCTGACACAGCTCGCCAGGCAGTGGACTTTCGGCTACCATTTGTTCCGGTCGATAGCTCATGGCAGGCATCCGCGTGCTGCTAGAAAGATAGGAAAAGGTCTTAGCAATGGATAAAGTGCTCGAGTGGACTAGCCTGCACTGTGGGCTATACATGGGAAATTAATTATTAAATAAATTTCCTTCAGGTCGAAATTTGAGAGCGTGTTTATAACATTCGCCACTGAACAAATCTCTAGTAATTTCTTGTCGATAATCAGGAAATGGG